TGAGACTCGTGAGCTACTTGAGATCGACTAGAATTTTAGCTCGACTCAAGATCGACTCAAAAAGAAAGAAATGGGCTGAGTATGAGCACTTTTTGTAGCTCGATCAACAAACGAGATGATCTTAAGCTCACATTGGCTCGCTCAATTCTAGCTCGATATCGTATAATTATATGAAATAATCTTGATATATATTTAAATAAAATAAGATAATTTATTATCATATGTGTTATGTACATTTTTCTCCATTTTAGCTACTAGCAAACATGGAAGCTTAATTAAGCACGGAGATAATTTAGCATCAATATGGTACGTGGTCAGCCGTTTGTGTCAAATATCCTATTATTCTTGGCCAAATTTTTAGAGTGGGGGCACTAGTATTCAATAAGTCAATTTTTACAGTGGTTTCTTATGTTGTGTTGTGGCCTTTTTTGCATTATATTATTAAAAAAAATTATTTAGCTCGAAACTAGCTCGAGATCGTTACAAGCTGAGCACGAGCCACTTTATACCGAGCTTGCTCAAATTTTAGTATAAGCTAGGCCGAGTCTAGTCCAACACGCTCGAACTCGACTCGTTTGCAGCCCTACTCACACATACTCCCTTTCCTCTGACAAAGAAAACTTTCTTATTGGTCTCATGTCACAACAAGTCAATACAACTAGAAGAGAGTTTGACCCTCGGTTAAGAAATTAATGATGCCCTGTGGTGGAAAACTATCAATAAGACACTATGTAGATCGAAAAACATTATGTTCAATAAAATCCAAATTTATAAGATGGTTTGCTTCCCCGAAAAGGACCTTCAAAAGGCACGAATAATACCCATGTACTCCACAATATGTATTCTGGATTAATGTCACACTTTCAGTCTGAATCGCTTCGTTGTCATGCTTGATAACTGGTGACCACAAAAATAAGATCACCCTTAAGATCTTGTCACCATTGCCCACTATGTTCCACACATCAGAAAATGCCATCCACATTTATTTTCACACAACAGGGTTTGAACTTTGAACACATAAGTATTTGAAAAGCATACAACATGACGCAATAATAAAAAGCACACCAGCTTAGATTTTTTTTACATTGGTATTGTTTAGAAAATGTTTGCACACGATAGCAGAAACACAAGAATAATATTTATATAAGGAATTGAATGCCATGTCTTGTAGATCCCTACATGAAATCCGGGTGACGATTTGGTTTGAAGGAATTCTACAGGAATTTTGAAGGAATCAATTCCTTGATTTTTTTTTCTATATAGATTGTTTGTTTTGTATGATTAGAAACCATGCTAATGAGCACCAACTTGTGGCTTGATGGTTAGGAGGGTGGTGGTACCACTTAATGCAAATTATTTTTTCAGTCGGAGGCGACATTCTAATCACTAGCGGTGCGTCTTAGAAAAAATATGACCTATTTTGCATGCAATTTCAAAGGAAAATTTTGACTGAGTCAATGCTCATAGAAATTTTCTTTGTTTCTATGACAAACTATGCGCTGCACCTAATGCTAATGAAAAGTTCCTGCATTTTTCTTGTTGTGCAATCAAACAATTTTTGTTACAAATTATGTGTTTTTGATTCTTGTAGAATTCAATATGACTTGTCATCAGAGAGAGAGAGAGAGAGAGAGAGAGAGAGAGAAGACAACAACATGTGTTGATTGGACTTCTCAAAGAAAATGAAAGCATGAGGTTTGAGCAAATGTTTAGATTCTCCAAAATATGAAGCAAAGAAAGGATTCCCAAAGAAATTTTCAAAGCCAATAATACAATTCAAAGGACACCACAAATTGTTTCCGTGTGATTCATTTCTTATGTTTTTTTGTGAAAAATCCTTTATTCCTACCAGACCCTGCCTTGCAAAATAGCATGTTGATCTTGACAATGTGTATGAAGTGACACAACTAAAATCAATCCCCAAGTTGAGATAAGCTTGTTGAACATACAAAACACAAGACTAAATAATGATAAAAAGTAAACATGATACACCAGTTAATAGCAAAGTTCTTCACTCGGAGGAATACAATAAGATGTACAGCAAGAGTAAGGATTCATCCCTCTAAAAAATTATGCAACCGATTGTACGCACGCAAATAATAATTTGAAGAAGGTAAAAAACATGTGGTAAACCTTGTGATAAATTATAATAGTAACAATAAGAAGAAAACCATAACACAAGGAGAGCAGCAGCATTCAACTTAAGTTGGCAGCAATGCACACCGGAGGTGGCTCCATTGTTGATTTGCACCGACTGCACAAGCATAGTGAAAGAGTATATATGCTCTAATTAATTAGCTCAAATAATGGAAGATACTTCTTTTTTTTTTGAGGGAAGATACTTCGAGTGGAAACAAAAGAGGGGAAGAGTAGAGGACTGACCTTGTTTGATGAGGTATGCATTATTGATCAGGGTCCTTCAATGGACAAAAGGACAGGTACGGGCCTATTAGTATGGCCATCGACAGCGCGTTGCCATTCGGCTTTTATTCCAACGTCGACGTCAGGATGGAGTGCGACTTCATTCAGCTGAGTCATGTGTGCGATTTTGATACCAAGTGCTCTTCCAGGAAGAAGGAGCGGCTGTGGACAGATGATATGAAGCGACACAAGACAAGGCAGCGCGCCATCTTGGATCGTTATGTCTATTAGCATTGGATCATTGAACACGATGGATAACCGCCCAATGCTTATGAGGTGATCATACCATATGTCGATGAGCCCGAGGTTGTCTTCAATAAGCTTGAGATATTTCAGTCCCCCCACGAAGCTCAGCCCTTCTCGAATAACCTCCCAACGCAGGCCAGTCGACCAAAGGCACAGCTCCTCAAGTGCACTTAGCTCTGCAACAAACGGAGGGAGTTGGCTCAATTGACCGTGCAGCTTGAGCGAATCGAGCTTGCCCGCGACTGCGTCTATTTCATCCACGAACTCTCTCGGGCATGCTCCGAAGTCGATCGACAGGGACCGCTTAAGATGAGGCGCTCCGGCGCCATCACCGATGATTTCCTAATGGCCTTTGAAAGAACTCCCAGGTTTTCTTGGCTTGCGTCGGATTTGCACCATATCTTCACCTTCCGCAACTGCCGCATAAGACTCAGCAGCTGTTGAAATCCATTTCTCCCACCGATGACAAATCCTGACAGCGTCTCCAGCACACTCTTATTAGCTCTCAGAAACCTCTCTACATCTGATCTCCAAACAAAGAAATCCCTTCTAGAAAGCTGGAACTTGCCAAGGAGGTGCTTCAGTTTGGGAAGCAGGAGGACTTCTTTGTACACCGTCACTATTCCATCAGCATCGTCACAATTTGAGCTTCCACTCAGGTCGAGTGTCTCTAGCTGATTCAGCTTCCCGATTTCCCTTGGAACCCGATCAATGATGCCTGATTTGATGCTCAGGTATTTCATCAGCTCCTGGTTGTAGATAGCCTGAATATGGCCATCACTCAGGTGAGCACATTCTTTTAGATCCAGCACTCGCAGCACTTTATAATTGGAAAAACGTAGAACATCTTCATCGAGATCCCCCGCAGCAGTAGAGAATACCGCCAACGTCCGGACATCAGATAAACTCTCAGGCAAATTCAGTGGAACATTTGCACAAGGATGCACAGATAGCCTGCGAGGGTGTCCCTCCGGCATTTCGGCAGACGCACCGTGACATAACAGTATGAAATTCTCGGACATGGACCGTTGGGAGATGTACTGACGAATCGTGTTGCCAGTAGGCTGGCATCTCTTCACCTTCCCATTGCTGCTTTTCTGGGTGGACCTGATGATACTGGACTCCATGAACTTGTCCAAATTGCTGATTGCGGATTGTTCTCTTCCTACTAGCCCTTCCGCCGTCCATCTCCTCATGAGGGGCTTAGTCCTGACATGATAATTGGGTGGGAACAAGCAGAAATATAGCAAGCAGTTGAGGTAATCACCATCATGTTTACCCCTCATCAAACACTGAAGATTCTCAATCTCTGCCGGGACAGCAGCAGCAGGCTCTTGTGCTGCAGCCCCTTGTACAGGAATAAAGCCAAACGTATGTATCCGGTGAGTCGTTCCCTTTGAGCTCTCCTTGAGTCGGGCAATTTTGTCTGCAAAATCAGCATCGGTCGTCATCTTGGCGTTGAAGCAGTCTATACAGTCTTCGATGTCACATGCCAAGGCCCTCAGTTGTGCAAAATATTCTGCCCGCAAGAAACTCATAGGCCGTACATGGTCGGCATGATCTAGCATGGTAGCTTTGATCGAGTTGAGATCCGCACTGATGCTCCTAGCATCGGTGTTCGGCCTCCCCTTCACGCTGTTTAGCTTCAACACGGCGACCCCAGCTACCGCGCTAAATGCCGCCACAGCAAACTCCATCGATCTCTCTTTCCTTGCTTCCACAGATCACTCCTCCTGTCCTCCCTAGATCTGCATATGCACGGCAAATAGGGGTTAGTGTTGCCTGAAATGGAAGAGGGAAGGAGAGGGAAGGGGGCAGAACTTCTCTACCTTGGTGGAGGAGGGAGCTTCAGAGTTCTCCTCTCAGCTGCGGTGACTTGATGGTCGACTCATGGTCATTACAATTCTTTCTATCAAAAAAAAATCCTGTCCTATACTGTTGTTCAGAAAAAAAATTGACATGAGAGACGGTTTTTTTGGACGAGCGGTGGTTCCATGGAGCAGAGGCGAACCGGTGAACCAGTTGCTTGGCCGGTTCACTCACAGCTCACAGGTCCGGTCTTCTAAGCACCCAAATCCTTCCTCTCCTTCCCCGTGTATGTAGAGGGGATAGGGGCCTGTTGAGTTGTGTTGTTTCACTTTGTCCACGCACTACTTTCTCTGCCATCTGATAGCCTCGTCAAAATCGAGATTTCCCTGGTACTGTTTCCCTCCCGAGCTTCCTTTGTCGTGCATCCATAGACAACTACAAACAAAAACTAATCATCTGGTTGTCTTTGAGGAGTCGATAATCATTCGTGGTTCTTGCTTCAGATGGAGATGGCGCTGGCGCAGATGGAGGCTCTAGATGCCGTGCTCCTGATGGCGAGGATAGCGGCCGACCCTGATCTTCAAGCAGCGATGCAAGCTCATGTTACTGTTATGCTGGGTCCGTCGGTCCTCCTCCTCCGGGATCTTGATTCTTCCGGACAGAGTCTTCTCGGTGCAGAGGAGCTTCGTCTTCTTCGAGATGCTCTCAGGGAAGTATGCATCCCCCTGAAGAGTATGTCGGAAGACGACGGCGCTAGCTTCATGGCCAGATGGTGGATGAAGATAGTTCGGGAGCTTTGTTATGACACGCAGGATTACCTCAACTTCGTCCAAAGTGCTCGAGATCGTCCTGATTTTTCAGAGTTACCTGATCGTGCCAAGGCTGTTTATTCAGGCTTACTTGCTCGTGCCATTGATGCAAGGGAAAGACGCAGAGGTTTCCAGTGGTCTCCCAAGACCACCCGGTCTGACACGCAGGAAGCCTTCGACCGCCGCTTCTCCAAAGCTTTGGCCCGGGTGTCGGGTTCCTTGGGTGTCTGTACCACACCTGGTGCCGTGGTCGTGGAGGCCCCAAACAAGCTTGTCGAGCTGCTAGCTTTAGACGACGATGTCGACGACAAGACACTCAAGGTGATACCTATAATTGGATGTGCAGGTACAATAAACTATCTTCAACTCGAATGTCTCAAGTCTTTTTCTGCCCGGCCCATTAATACTAGCTAGAACATATGCCAAGTTTCTTTCATCTTCTTTCAGGTGTTGGAAAGACAACAGCTGCCAGAACCTTGTATCACAAGCATGGAGGGAAATTTCAGTGCCGGGCTTTCGTAAGTGCGTCTCAGAATCCAGATATGAGGGGGATCCTTACCAGCATGCTCGCACAACTGAAGGCACCATGGCCCCCTGGCTTTCCTGATGTGCTGGACCTTATTGGTGCTATCAGCAAGCATCTCCAAGGCAAAGGGTGATTAATCTCAACTATACTGTCTAAATAAGCAAATTATGTGTTCTCTTCTCATAAATAAAAGCATAGACATATTTTACGAGGTTCCGGTTATGGCGTGTCAGGCACTGCCAAGCATTTTGAGAAATTATGAATATTATTAATGGGTGTTTACCCGCAAAAGAAAATTGTAGCACTTGCTCAGGTGAACGCAGGCAAATTAATATATATGCTGCCACTTGAGCAAGATATATATAATTTGTTTTTTTTTGTTCTGACCTAACATACAAAATTATGCAGGTACTTCATCGTACTTGATGATTTATGGACTGCATCGGTATGGCATATTGTTAGCCGCGCTTTTCCTCGTGGTGGTCACGGCAGCAGAATAATAACAACTACACAAGTGCATGACGTAGCACTGGCATGCTCTGGTTATCACTCGGTCCGTATATATAAGATGGAACTTCTTGATGAATATGAATCTCGAAAGTTATTCTTCCGTAGGGTGTTTAGCTCTGCCCCTGGAGATGGTTGTTCTCCAGCTACCAAAGAAGTCTCATACGAGATTATCAGGAAATGTGAAGGTTTACCATTAGCAATTGTAAGTATAGCTGGTCTGTTAGCAAGCGAATTAAGCATCGTCATGGAGGATTGGAGGCACATACAGAATTCTTTTTCCTCTACTTCCGAAGGGATGAACGATGTTTTAAACCTTATCTACAATAGTCTTCCACCTGGTTTGAGGACATGCTTGCTATATCTGAGTATGTATCCACAGGGCTACGTGATGAAGAAGGCTGAGTTGGTGAGGCACTGGGTAGCCGAAGGTTTTTTCGGTGATGTGGAAGGGACAGTCACAATGAAAATTGCTGAGGGTTATTTTGATGAGCTTGTCAGCAGAGCAATGGTCCAAGCAGTGGACACCAATCATATTGGCGAGGTGTTGTCATGTACGGTTCACCATTTGGTACTGGATTTTATTAGGTCCAAATCCTTGGAGGAGAATTTTGTCACCACTGTGGACTATTCTGAATCAATTCTAGCAAACACTGATAAAGTTCGTCGATTATCCATCCAGTTTGGAGGGGTAAAAAGCGCATACATTCCAGAAACCATCATAACATCGAAAGTTCGGTCACTTGCATATTGGGGTTTCTTCAAGTGTGCGCCTCCTTCCATTATGGATTATGGATTTCTGTATTCTGAATCTTCATATTTGGGCTGATGAAGACAATGAGATTTTTGACCTCATTGGAATCACAAAGCTTTCTCTTCTGAAGTATCTCAAGATTGAATGTAATATCACCGTCAAACTTCCAGACAGGATTGGAATGCTCCGATACTTGGAGACACTGGAAGTAGATGCAAGATTGTTTGCTGTTCCATCAGATATGGATAATCTGGAGAGGTTACTGCACCTTCGCCTTCCGAGCGAGTCTATTCTGCCCCAAGAAGTTGCCCGCGTGAGATCTGTTCGCTCTCTAGGGTATCTTGGCCTTAGCTTGCTCACCACTGAATTTGTTAGATCTTGTACGGCTGACCAATCTGCAGGATCTTCACCTCACCTGTTATACTGTTCAGCCAGCTCACCTTCCTGAGCGAGTCTATTCTGTCTCAAGGAGTAGCCCACATGTCATCTCATCGCATGTCGTATTTTGGTATCATCCGTTCCATAACAGAGAATTCTAACCTCCAGGATCTCGAGCTCACCTGTTCTATGGTACAGCGAGCAGAAACTCTGAAAAAGAATGTGCAAATCTTAGGCTCGATTGTTGAGAAGCTTAGCTACTTGCACACCATAACTTTGGTGGCTGCTTCAGTCTCCTCTCATGAGGATGATGCTCAGGCTGCACCTGCAAGCATAATTATTCCCCCTGATGGCTTTAACATGGCGTCTCCTCCTCCAGACCTGCTTCTACAGAGGATCGAGCTGTCGCGGCACTGCTGCATCTTCTTCTGCATACCTAAGTGGTTTGGAGAGCTAAGGAAACTCTGCATCCTAAAGATTGCAATTAGGAGTCTGTCGACGAGTGGTATCGAAATCCTGGAAAGAATGCCAGCCCTCGCTGCTCTCACCCTGTATAATCAGACAACTCCCACAGAAAAGATGATCATGACTGACGGGGGATTCTATAGACTCACGTACTTCAAGTTCTTGTGCGCTGCACCATGCCTGTCATTTGCACAGGGAGCAATGCGCAGACTCCAAAACCTCAACCTAGGATTCAACTCAAAAGAATGGAGATCGGATACCATTGAAACTGTAGGCTTGAGTCACTTGAGAAGCCTTACGGATGTATGTGTAAGACTTGGCGCTGGGGCTGCTGACAACTTCAACGTAAAAGTTGCCGAGTCGACATTGGAGGCTGTCGTCAGGAATCACCCCAACTCTCCTAGGATGAGAATCAAATTTGTGGATGTGATTTTTGATGGTGAGGAGGATGAGAACACCGCGACTCACGAGAATCAAGAAGGCAAGGAAAGCAGGTACGGCTTTTTCTTCCGTTTACAAGAATTTTGTAGGGGTTTTAAAGGATAGGAATTTTATAAAAGGATTTCTTTGTAGGAATAGAATCTCATTCCTGTCCAGCATAGAAACCAATCCTTTCTATTTCAAAGGAAAAAAAAAAGCATTAGCCTAGACCCAAACCCAATGAAAAAAAATCATATGCTATGAATCAGATGAATCTTTAAAGAATTTGACATACTTGTCACCTCACTTCATATGATTTTCCAATTTTGATGATATGCCTATTCAATGAACCAAAAGAGACCTCAACAGGGCGTTCATCATTTTTCCTTCAATCGTGACAGGTCTGCCAGAGGCCAAGATGGCAAACAATATGCAACAAGGGACAGGCCTCAACAATGGTGGCCACCAATGACCGCACCAACGCACTACAAAGCGGCATCGAGGAGCACACCAATGTGGGCCAGAGCATTATCAAAGGCAGTACCACCACCAAGGGCAGCAGTACCGCCTCCCACCAGCTCTAGCCCATCAAAGCCGTTGCCATCTTCCTCCCGCAACAGCCCACCAAGGTCGAGGCCACATGGCTCCCGCATCAGCCCTCCCCGACCCACGAGCCCGCCCCAACCCAAGCGCTAAGCTTTTGGTATGATTATTTCTTCTTCGTGCACCAAAAAAAGATGACACTGTTAATGTACCATTTACAGCCTTGCTCAAGTTTTCTAAGCTCTTAGTATGATTTTCCTAAGGACATAAGAGAGTGTCGATCTGTTCTTTCTTGTCATGAAGTCCATCCGATACCTACTTTCTTCCCTCTAGAAACTCTCTTGTGCTGGAATCTAACTTATTCAAACTCAGAACTGGGCCAGGTGCTTATTTTCATCCCTGACCCAAGCAAGGGGTTGAGCGCATCATCCCGCTTATTAGTGCCGGGGACATCCGACGGACAGACGGTGCGTCGAGACGATGCACCAAGCGGTGAACCGTGCAGCGGGACGAACGGGCATCCGAGGAGCAGTCCCCACCCTGATGCCATCCAAACTGATCAGCTGTCTAAATATTACAGCATCTATTCTACATCCGTATGTACACATGTCCAATTTTCTTGTGCACTCAGTTCTGTACTGTGTTATCTTATAGGCTGGCATTTAAAAAAAAATCGAAAAGAGGATGTACCCCTCGGCCTCTGAGTGATGCACACAGCCTTATAGGCTGGCATTATACACTTGATACTTCTGTGACCATGCCGCGAGCTACATGATCGATATGTTTGAAGTGGAGAAGAGATAAACATATATGTCATACGAGAAAAGGAAAGAATGTTTCTGTTGTAAATAATTAGAGAATTTGAGTGCTCTGAGTGACTTACTTAGGTTTTAAGACAAAACAAATAGGGCTTGTGTGGCATAGGAGTCATGAGCACAGCACCAGAATAGCGCCCAAGCACAGCCTCCAAACCCCAAAACAATATCAACTAAAATTTGAAATTCAACACGTGAATTCTACCAACATCACCAGAGCAGAACTCAGGAATCAGCATTAAAAATCTCGATCGGGATTGACAAATCCCACAAACCTAAATTCACCACTCATCATGAGTACATCAAACAATGCAAATTTATTGAACACTCACAAAACACTACCAGGTTTTCAGGTGCTGCGAATGCCATTGCACTCGCTGGAGTTCAAACAGGGACACTATAATTAGGCTTACATCTATGTCAATAACTATTTCGAAACAGAAGCAAGGTGTCTCGCCATCTTGGCAAACCCACAATATCCTAAGCTTTTTTCTTGGGAGAGGAGGCGGCAGCTGCTGTGTGTTTTGTGCATATGCACAAATTGATCATTCTATGTGTTCTGGTCTTATCCTATAAAAAGGTTCCGATAGCTAATCAATGAGAATAGTAATGATTAACTACTGATCTTCTCACACGACAAAAAGAGAAGAAAATCAGATTCATCTCCAGAATGATGAAAGCACTGCAGAAACACTGCTAATCTAACTACTGTTTTGCACTAACTACCTAATAAATTCAAAGAACCTCACAAAACACTACCAGGTTTTCAGGTGCTGCGAATGCCATTGCACTCGCTGGAGTTCAAACAGGGACACTATAATTAGGCTTACATCTATGTCAATAACTATTTCGAAACAGAAGCAAGGTGTCTCGCCATCTTGGCAAACCCACAATATCCTAAGCTTTTTTCTTGGGAGAGGAGGCGGCAGCTGCTGTGTGTTTTGTGCATATGCACAAATTGATCATTCTATGTGTTCTGGTCTTATCCTATAAAAGGGTTCCGATAGCTAATCAATGAGAATAGTAATGATTAACTACTGATCTTCTCACACGACAAAAAGAGAAGAAAATCAGATTCATCTCCAGAATGATGAAAGCACTGCAGAAACACTGCTAATCTAACTACTGTTTTGCACTAACTACCTAATAAATTCAAAGAACCCATCACAGGCCAGCTATATCCAGTACAAGTAAGCCTCCAAACACCACAAAGAGGTAACTGAAATTTGAATTTAACACATCGCCAGAGTGGCTGAATTCAGAAATAAGCATCAATGATCTTTGATTGGCAAATCCGCACAAATCTCATTCCTCTGTTAAGGAGACGTCAAGGGCATCATAAATCCGCACAAATCTCATTCCAAACAAAGAGCATCACAAAACACTTCCAGTTTACTGAGGCAAATTTCTTGAGCCACAAATCTCATTCGAAATCACATCCTATTCACCACACACCATGGCGTATATCAAACAAGGCAAATTTATTGAGCATCACAAAACACTTCAGGTTTCAGGTTGGCTGCAAGAAGCTGCAGGTTTTGCAGCTGCCACGCACTCGCTGGCATTCAAGCAGCTAGAACTATAGTTACAGACTTGCGGGTAGAAAGGTCGATAATGGCTTCAAAACAGAAGGTTTCTAACCACAATATAGAACTGACTTGATCACGCATTCTGCAAGCTACTTATATAGTGCATACCAGAGAGAGTAAACATTTCTGATGATTTGCTAGGCTGTTCGCAACACTAGCGCAAAGGAGATGATTTACATGCTGTTCCAGTTATCTAACACACCTTCAGTAGGCTTGTGATCCATTTGAAACAGCTCAGCGGCCACAACTGATCATCATTTCTTCGTTTCGGTGCCGCCACGTCAGGTCACTGAAGCTGGGTGTATCAATATGGCCGCGGTGGATAAGCTCCAGGGTAAGGCGCTGCATAAGATTCAGTGAGATCATCACATTAGTTCACCGGATTAGAGGCATGAAAATGGATGGATTTATCTAAGCTCATTAAGATCTTACCAGGTGGATAAGGGGATTGTGCTGCTGAAGGTGGTGGGTAGGGTTGCCCATATGGCTGTGGCGGGTAAGGTTGCTGCCCATATGGCTGTGGTTGGTACGGTTGCCCGTACGGCTGCGGTGGGTACGGTTGTCCATATGGCTGTGGTGGGTGACTTGCAGGAGGACATCCCTGCTGTGGGTATGGCTGCTGAGGAGGCGGAGTTGGGTATGGCTGCTGAGGAGGCGGAGTTGAGTACGCAGAAGGAGCAGGATATGGTGCGTGGCTAGGAGCTGGATAAGCTTGGTGCGGTGGGGGTGCTGCAGCATATGCTGAAGGCGCTGGGTACGAAGCTGAGGAGGCACCGTATGGCGAAGGAGCGTACTGGCCAGAAGTTTTACCTGCCATCTTGTTCTTCTGATATACACAAGAGAAAAACAATGAGGCAATGACACATTAACAGAAACAATTAAACAATGACCAGTGATCAGCCTCTCACTCACCATTGCTGAGACATCAAAGTGCATGATAAGTTTAACTTCCCCAGCAGACCTGCACAGGTTGACCTCAGTGTCAGGAAATCTGCAAGTGACAGTAGGAGAAAGGTATTACAGTACGCATATGTAACAAAACACCTACTTCATATGGCGTGTCTGGAGGGGCCATGAGGAATCATCGTAGCCACTTGTGAGCACCTTGTTCAGCGGAACCCTGCATGCAGAAACGCTCAGCCATCAGTCGCTTTACTCGGTAACAGTATAATGACTAAAGTGAGCTGCATCGTAATGTACAAACCTGCAGCTGCCAATGAAGTCATCGGTGTTGATTGTGTTGCTGTTCCACACGTTGATACTCAGCTCGCGGAGCCCCTCGATGAGTGGTATATGAAACTTCTCGTCGAAGGACGGGTTCCTTCCCCCATCTGATTGTATTAAGAAAAAAACAGTAAGCTTATGGAGGTCAAATATGTACCAACTTTGGAAATGTCCTAGTTCACACCGGAAAAAAAAATGCCCTGGCACTCCACATTAATTGAAAGTCAAGGGGTGATAGTCTCCTAGATTAATAATATGTTATGAAATGCAGATCGAAGAATCTCTTGGAAAAAGAGGAGGACTTGTTCAGGTCAACTCTAGGATGGATGAGAGTGCATTTTCTATTCGGCATAGTAACTGCAAGATAGACCGGAAAAAGAACTTTCCTACAGGGCTCTAATCTAGGCTTGGGTACTTTTATAAGGAATGGTTTCAGTTTCATAGAGAACAAAATAAAAGGGAATTGCACACCATACCAGTTTGCTGTATTTAAGTCCTTGTCTGCATAAGGAAGGCCCGGTAGCAAATTTCAATAAGGATATAAGAAATGGTAACACATTGACATTGGCAAATAGCGTTCCAAATAATTGAATTGCCCAACTTCTAGAACCAGCCGAGCATCCTGAGAGCATCACTCGAAACATATAGAGGTGGATGCCAAATTGTACTACTACAAAGGAAATAGGATTCCTTCAGTACAAGTAATGAGTAGCACTATCGCGTACAACTTTATTCATAGGACGCGCATCAAACAAAGTTAAAAGAATATATTCTCAAATCGACATGAGTATCTTATGCCAAGCTAGGGTGCCATTTTTTCCACCAGCTAGCAGACGTGAAAGAAACAAAAACAACCACGACATTGCATTTCTGCAAAAACTAGGATGAGTAATGTGGGCCGCTAGTGTGTAGAATCATATTCATCAGGGGCGCAGCGCATCAAACAAAGATAGAAGAATATATTCCCATCGACCAGAGTATCTTATGCCAATCTACGGTGGCGTGATTATTTTTTTACTGTAATCTAGGGTGGCGTGATTATTTTTTTACTGTAATCTAGGGTGGCACGAATCCACCAGGAGGTGTGCAAGAAACAAAAATGTCCTCCTCATCACGAGACGCGTGATCTTCGCAAAAAATAATAGGAGGCAGAGTACCCCTATCGAATACATGGACTCCAAGGAGATAGACAATGATCACGCATGCAACCGACGAAGATATAGAAACATCATAATCCTATGGTGTCAGCTCAACTGCAATAATGTCGGCTTCCATGAATGAACAGTATTACTGTTAGATTACTACTAGTGTTTTTACTAAGAGTGGGCTGAGTATGAGAGCAGTCAGTTGACACCAGTCCTAATAATGACAAGCACATGTTTCAGAAGAGCAGCCCGTATAGTAATCAAACAGTGGGCCATGCTGTAGCAAACTGTAAGTGCGCTTGAGAACTAGTCGTTGGTTGGGCGTGGTTACCCAACCACCGCGTGGTGCTGGTAGGTGCAACTACTGAAACGAATTGAGTCGAGCATGCTGATTAATCGATTGAACAGACTAAATTGGCGACAGACTATACAATACACTAGATGATGACTCGGGTGAGTCTAGTTCAAATTTGGAGTGAATTCAGTTTGAATAGCACCAGTCTTGGGCACCTAGGCTTGGGCAGAGGTTGTCGACGCGCAAACTGCTGGAAGGACCAAATTGAGCAGTGAGGATTGCTTATAGCAAAGTATATAGTATAACTCGAAGATGAGAAGACGTCGCTGCTCCTGCTCCTCGAGAAGAAAGAAGAGGCAATGCTGGCATGGTCGCTCGCCCACCGTTGTTGGTGCAACTAACGCGGGATGGCGCAACTAGCGAAGAAGAAAGTGGGTTCGGTACGCCCTCCTCGATGAACAGGTCATTGCTAGTGTACACTGAGTCTCCTGTAGAACAAGGAAGAGGCAATGCTGCAGCCACCGTGCGTGGGCAAAGGCACGACGATAACTGGAACAGATTGGGCCCAATGAAGAGATTAAATTGTTGTGGCCAGACAGATTAGTTGCGCATTGCGCTAGCTAGACCCCCAGTTCAAATGCCACCAGTTTTGACTTCTTTTTTTTGATTTGAAGAGCAGGAGGAGTATGTGGCCACGCACGCATAACGTCATACAGCCATGGTGCACGAGAAGGTGAAGCAAGCACGGAAAAATGGCGTACCGGTGCAGGTGCGGGTGCGCAGCTTGGTGGTGGCGTAGTCGACGATGACGTAGGGGTCCTGGCGCGAGAAGAACTCGGTGTCCCGCAGCTTCCGGCACCCCGTCACTGGTTGACACGAAATTGAGTTGAGCAAAAGGGGCCTCCAGTCCACCCGCGGCGGGGAACCAATCAACCAACCAATCAAGCGAGCGAGGGAGTGGGAACGGGGGAGGGAAAGGAAGGAGTATTCCTACCTCTGACCTCGAGGAGCAGGCCCTGGATCGACATGGGCGGTTGAATCGTCGGCGGCGGCGGCAAAAGGGGGCGCGGGCTGAGATAGGGAGAGAGGGAGGCGAAAGCGACCTTTGCTGCTGGTGTGATCCAAGATGGACGAGGGCGCGGGGGCTCTTTATTGCCCGCCCCCCGCCCGACGACGCGTTTTCTGCCCTTCCGAAAACAATAATCACGTACGGACGCGCTTTGCTGTCTCTCACAAGCGGATTGGATGCAGCTTTGTCACGCCCGGCTTGGCGTCGCTTGCACGTGACCACCACGACGGGCGTTGTTTGTTGCCCCCGGTAAACCGCGCCGCCTGCGCGTTGGGTCCGTATTTCTCGCCTTGCAAGCAAAGCTGCCATATGTATCTGTAGTCGTGGATGGAATTTCCATCCCAAGCAATGGGTATCGTCCGCGAACATAGAAATACTACTACTCGGTAGCAATGCAAGGGGAAAAGGGAAACACACGGGAGTCGAGGCGGTCCAGACTCAAGTCAAGTCAGCAACGGATCGATGCTAGTAGTAGTATAGTATGCACAACAACGGATAGATCCCTCGAAAGAAAAAAGAACAACGGATAGATGCTGTTATGGTGGAGCTGCGATGGTACGATGCCGCTGCCATGTGAGACAGTTTCCCTCCAACGCCCACGCGGTAGGTTCACAGTCGGTCAAGTCCAGTCAACGCACCAGGCAAGCGGACACGCGCACAAGTTTTGTGCAATCTGTGATCCGCTTGTCCGACAGCCCGCCTGCCCATCCTAGTGAAAATGGACAAAAATGACCTTTATCTCAAACTTCAACACAAAATGGCTCCAATCTAAAAATATTTCACGAAATGGCCCCTTTTGCATGACGCCCCTACATGTCGCTACCATGGCGCTCTAGCCCCGGGCGTCATGCTCTCTAGCATGGCGCCCTAGCCACGGGCGTCATGCAAAAAGTGGGTCATTTCGTGAAATAATTTCAGATTAGGGTCATTTTGTGTTCAAGTTTCAGATAAGGACCAATTTTGTTCATTTTCACCGCATCTTATACCATGGTTGGTGAACCATATTACTGGATTTGGTACAAGTCTACTAGCGACGATAAGCATTCTCAGGGGACGTTCCTGTCAGCTAGAAGGCACATGCATCTTTCTCAAAGGTTCTTTTTTTTTTTTGAGTCAATTACACTACAGGTGCTAAAACTTGCACAAGAAATCACTTTAGCACCAAAACTTGCGGCGTACATTAAACTGGTGCTGAAACTTAGTTTTAGCGTGCATATACAATGCAAATCATGTTTGTGTACAAACATGGTGCTGACTAGGTATGCCACGTGCCATGGGACCCGCTGTCAGCCACTCAACGAAAGAGATAAGACGTGTGGCCTATTATTTTGTGGAAAACCCTCGATTTTTTTTCTTTCGAATAAGCCCCTGACGCCTGTCGGTCCATCTGTCAGCGGCCAATAACATTCGATACCGTGACCTGCAGCGAGGAGGGTCATGTGCCTCACCAACGCACCAACAAATGGTTACGTAATTTACAATATCCTTTAGATCGTATAAATAGGCTGGAGACCGTACGGCCCCTTTTGCACTTCTATATACTACATAATTATTTTGTTAAAAGCATGAACATTTTAAATATATATTACTATTTATTTAAATATATCAAAACTTATATAACTAATTGACATTTTTATTAAACTTGAAAATTATTACGTGCACAATTTTGAAAATAATAATTTAGGTATATGTATAAATTTTGAAATAATATGTGAATAAATTTGTATTGTGTATATATACTTTTTATGACATAAGATTATAATTTACATGTATTTTATAAGGTTTTGAAAAGAAATAACGCTGTTGGGTGGGGTGGTGGCCACGCGCACATGATGACTACATGTCACTGGTTCAAATCCCATCCAACTATTTTACAATACATGAATATATGTTTCTTAAAGCATGAACAATTTTATAGACTACATGATTTTTTTAAAAGAATGAACACCTTTAAACTTATATATGCATTTATTAAAAACTATAAAAAATTCTTACAACATGAACACTTTTTTATACTACACTAATATTTTGTTAGAACTTTGGACATTTTTAAACTTTTGTACACATTTATTAAAATATATAGAAACATAAAAAAATATTCTTAATGGATGAGCACTTTTACATACTACATTAATATGCTTTAAGAAAAAATTATATATTTTCAATTTATATCACACGATTATAGTTTACATATAGTTTGGAAAAAATAAATATAACACAGCAAAAGGGGTGTGGGGTCTCCAACCCGCTTAACTCTAAATGATATAAAGGGACTGTTCGGAGTCCCTCTGCTCCACGCTGCCGCTCTCGGAGCTGGCGGAGTTTTAGTCCAAAACTGCGGAGTGAGTGAATCGGTACTCCCCAGATTTTTAAAATCCAAGGAGCTGGTGGACTGCCGAACAGCCCCATGTACGTATCCACTCTCACCAAACAACCTTGTCGTTGCATTGGTTAGGCACATGCCCTTCGCCTTGCAGGTCACGCGTTTGAATGCCCCGCCCACATTTTTTGCACATTTTTTATGGGATACTTATGATGAAAGAGGGGGGGGGGGATCTGAGGGGTTTTTCACGAAATAACATGCCACACACCCTAACTCTGTTGTTCAGTGGCTGACAGCGGGTCCCACACCATGTGGCGTGCCTAGTCAGCATCATATCCGTATACAAACACGATTTTGCACCGTGTATGCACCTTAAAGCCAAGTTGCTGCACCAGTTCAATGTATGTCGCAAGTTTTAGCACTAGGTTTTAGCATCAGTGGTGTAATTGACTCTTTTTTTAAAAAAAAACTTCTAATTTATTCATCTCCAATCATGATAGTACAAAAGAACAATAGAGATACTAAAATTACAATCATGTCCGTGGACCACCTAGCGATGACTACAAGCACTGGAGCGAGCCGAAGGCGCGCGCCATCATCACCCTCCCTCATCAAAGCCGGGAAAACGTGGTTGTAGTAGATAGTCAGGATGTCGTCGTGATAAGGCCCTATCGGGCCAGCGCACCAGAACAGCAACCGCCGTCGATGAAGAGAAGTCTAGATCGAAAGGATCCAACCCGCAGTCATATAGATGTAGACGAACGAAGACCGGAACCAAGCGCGTCCACCGGAGACAAACGCCGACTGGGACCCATGAGATCCATCGGAGAGACACCTCCACATGCCCTCCGAAGACGCTACAAACATCGTCAAGATAGGGGCTAGGCGGGGAGGATCTTATTCCATCTTAAAGAAGCCATCTCTGCCTCGTCTTCCTGAACATGGCACAAACCCTAACAAAACTCCAGAAACATCAAAAACGGAGCCTTCGCGCCGGTAAGGGTCGGATCCACCCACGCCTCCATGATCCAAGGACCATACGAGATGAGGCGGACCGACGACGACGCCAGTGAGAGACAAGGAAACCCTAGCTGTGAGATCGCCAGAGGCTGGTAGTTTGCCGCTACCTCCTGGTAAAAAGAGCTTTCCGGAGGGTCGCAGAACAGTACCGTGCTCTATCCGAAATCCAAACAAAACACTCTCTCGTATGTGCATGTATTCGTAGGGGTGGAATCTTATATCTGTGTATGTTCAGCATTTGTGTTTGTATTGTGGGTTCCGAAACAAAAAAATACACCAGTACCACATCAGATTGTGTGTGCTACCATTAAGCATGGAAATTCCTTTTGGACGCTCGCTGCGTCAAAATGTCGAGCGAACGCATAGGGGAACGATAATCTGGGCCGGCCCATCTCCCACTATAGACAGTTTCGGTTTTGGGAACTTTCTAAAAGTTTCCCAGCCGATTTTTATCAGTTTTGGGAACCTTCTAGAAGGTTCCTTAAGCTGGTTTTCTATTTTCCTTTTTATTTCTTCTTTTTCTGTTTCTTTTCGTTCTTTTCTTTTTTCTTTTTTCATGTTTCTTTTTTTTCTTCCTCTCCTTTTTTCTTTTTTTTCCTTTTTTCCTTTTTTAAAAAAGTTTGTGCTTTTCGAAAAATGTTCGTAAATTTCAAAAAATGTTTGCATTTATCATAAATTGTTTAAAATTTCAAAAAATGTTTTCCCTTTCATATTTTGTTCAGAAAATCGAAAAATGTTTGCTTTTTCAAAAAATGATTGTGCTTTTTAAAAAATTGTGCAGAAGTTTGAAAAATGTTCTTTTTTTCAATTTTGGTTCAGAAATTAAAAAATGTCATGCTTTTATGAAAAATGTTCCCGTTTAAAAATTTTGTTCAGAAATTCTAAAATTGTTCGAGAATTTAAAAAATGTTCTTCTATAAAAGATTTGTTCAGAAGTTGGGAAAATGTTCTTGTTTTCAATTTTGGTTCACAATTTATAAAAATGTTCGTGCTTTTATGAAAAATGATCCCGTTTTCATATTTTGTTCAAAAATTCAGAAAATGTTCTTGATATTCAAAAAAAATTCAGAAGTTCAAAAAATGTTCATGTTTCGTTTTTTTCATAAATTCAGAAATTTTTCGCAAATTTTAAAAATTGTTTGGAACTAAAAAAAAGGCAGCTACAGTCCCAGGCGCTACAATACAAAAATGTTCTGGAATTTTGAAAAAAAATCACGTTTTCAAAAATGTGCTTTAACTTTAAAAAAAGGTTTGCCTTTTAAATACGTTCCTCTGTTGTGTGTTCTTATTGTTTCGTGCTAACCATTGGGACATCTAGCGGCTTCAGCTCAAGTGGCTAGCTGCAAGAGATTTGAGTCGCGAGGTTGCGTGTTCGAGTACTTCCAGCGCTGCCATTTTTGCGTAGTTTTGCGTTCAGCTTAACTCGATTGTAGTGGGCCGGCCCAGTCGGGGACCCCCTGTGCGGCGCGCCCTCCATTTGCCGCAATAAGCGGCGTATAGGAGCTCCCATTAAGCATCACAGACCACATTGAGTACTAATGCTAATCAAAGGCCTTGGGCTTCATTTTGACAATTAGAATTAAAATAAAAGAGGCCCACGTGCTGGAACCTAGGCC